TGACTCCATCTTATCAGAAAGCTAATTAATTACTTTATTATACTGTATTATTCTACACTATATTACACTACATCTAAACTGATGTAATGTGATATAGTAGAGAATAATATAGTATATTCTACTATATTATATTCTATACTATATTCTATTAAAACAATATTAATACTATATTCTATTAGTACTAATTCTATATTCTATATTGTATTCTATACTATATTCTATATTCTATTCTGTACTATATTTTATTAATACTAATTCTATATTCTATTCTATACTATATTCTATTAATACTAATTCTATATTCTATTCTATACTATATTTTATTAATACTAATTCTATATTCTATACTATATTCTATTAATACTAATTCTATATTATATTCCATACTATATTCTATTAACACTAATTCTATATTCTATACTATATTCTATTAATACTAATTCTATATTCTATTCTATACTATATTTTATAAATACTAATTCTATATTCTATTCTGTACTATATTATATTCCATATCTGCCAAGCACTCAACTCTGCACACAACTGCATTGAATCTCTGACTGTCACCCAACAATCCCAACACACACACACACACACCTGGCCCTGACAGGCCAAGGAAACAAAACACCATCACTTTGGGTAAACAATCTCCATATTGCATTCTACTTTTGCACAAACACAGGCACAGCAAATGATAAGAATTTTTTCTTTCTCTGAGGTTCAGAGAATGTGAAATCCAGAAATATTTTTGGGAAGAATTGTGTCTTGCTTTTCTCTGTGAAGAGAAATGTGGCGACACTCCTCCTGTTAAATTGACTGAGAGCTGCAAGGACGAGCACTCTTTGGATAAACCAGTGGAATCTTGCCCCACAAAATGATAAATACAACCCATCCATGAGGTTTTCCACGTTCCTGGTTGCTGGGAGGTGCCTGGAGTTGTTCTCATGCCTTGTTCTCTACATGTGAGTCACTCCAGGAAGGAACAGGAGGAGGTGAATTGTCCCCCTGTGCTCCTCCTGGGGCAATGGCAGTGAGGATGTGGCAGTGACACCTCAATTTTGAGTCTAGCCTGTGCAGCAGAGCCTCTGTCCCCCATCCCACCCTTCCTTAACATCTCCCCTATTGGATTTCCTTTTCCAGAACCGGATGCATGAGAGTATGAAACTGTTTGACAGCATCTGTAACAACAAATGGTTCACAGACACCTCCATCATCCTCTTCCTGAACAAGAAAGACCTGTTTGAGGAGAAGATTAAGAAGAGCCCGCTAACGATCTGCTACCCAGAGTACACAGGTAGGCTGGGACCTCTGGGACTGTGGGATCATCTGTGTCACTGGGCCAGCAGTGAGTGAGTCAGAGCCTTGCACAACCCAGAATCAGTTACAAACTTTTCCCCCAGTTCCTTCCCTGGGCCTCCTGGATGGTTCTGGCCTGTTCAGTTGGCTGGTGCTTGTTTTCTTGGAAGAGCTGTGGTTAGGAACAGCGTTTGTCCTTCCCTGGAGTAAAGTGTTGCACTCCAACAAATCAAGGGGATTTTCCTTCTTTCACTGAAAGAATAATAAAGTACTGGAATGCTCTTTCCAGGGAGGTGGTAGAATCACCATCTCTGGATGTGTTTAAAAAAAGACTGGACATGGCACTTGGTGCTAGAGTCTGGTTGAGGTGTTAGGGCATAGGTTGGACTCTGATCTTAGAGGTCTCTTCCAACCTCATTTTTCTGTGATTCTGTGAAGGTCACTTCCCTGTTTCCACACCTAACTGGGACAATAATTCCTTTTAAATTCAATTTTAGAGGCTGTGTAACTTAACCACGTCTTGCTCTGGCTCCTGTCCACCCTGGAGTGTCCATGTTTAACGTGGATTGTTCCGGAACCCGTCCCTGCTGTGGTTCCACACAGGTGGAAGGTTTTACTTGGGCACTGCTCAAGGCATTTGAAGGATTTTTAAAAAATCCTTCAAATCTCTTCAAACCTGTTGATTTCTGTGATTCCCAGAGAAGCTGTGGATTCCCTGTCCCTGGAAGTGCTTGGGGCTAGGCTGGACAGGAGCAACAAGGTGTCCCTATTCCTGTCAGGGGGTGGAACAAGATGGGATTGAAGGTCCCTTCCAGCCCATGACTGCCATGATTTGTTGCTCTCTGTGGAGCCTGGCTGTCCCAGCACGTAGCAATCCCTGGATCCCATGTCCAAGGTCACTGCCCAGAGAACAGACTTCAGCTCTCCCAGAAGGAGTTAATGGTGGATTTGGATTTGTAGCTGGATAAGGCAGATGGTTGCAAGCAGCTTAATATGGACTTAAAAGCTCCCGTGAGCCGGTGGGCAAAGCCAGGGATCTTCTCCTTTGCAGGCTCCAACACGTACGAGGAGGCAGCCGCCTACATCCAGTGCCAGTTTGAGGATCTGAACCGGAGGAAGGACACCAAGGAGATCTACACCCACTTCACCTGCGCCACCGACACCAAGAACGTCCAGTTCGTCTTCGACGCCGTCACCGACGTCATCATCAAAAACAACCTCAAGGAATGTGGGCTCTACTGAGAGGTAAATGCAGCTCTGGGTGTCCTGCTGGGAAGGGCTCTCTCTGCTCCCTTCTACATTCCTGGTTTCCTTCCCAGTGTTTCTGCCTGGTGAGCCCCAGCCTCTTGCTGCCTCGTGGGGACAGCGACGAGCATGACCCAGGAGCAGAGAACACGTGGAATCCTGGAATTCTTTAGCACAATCTTCTGTCTTAGGGACCTTTTATTGCTGTGGGATGTGGAATTAGGGCACAGTGAAGCCACGTAGTGGGAGTAGATCCTCCTGGCATCGTTGGACGACGTGATCTCCGGGATGTGCAGTGGATTCCAGCTGGATTCCAGACCTTGGATATGTAGCTTTCTCTCTTCCTTTGGTTAACAAGCCACCACTAGTCTGTTTTTAAGGTTATTTTTTTTTTCCATCGAGAAAACTATAACTTTACTAAACTTTATTTCTTTATTTGCAAACCTTGTTTTAAAAATAATAATAATTAAAAAAAAGCAACAAAAAATTCACTTAACTATGCACATGTGAGCAGATCCTGCAGAAAATATTCCTCTTAGCAGGAATTCCTTGTTTTTAACACTTGCTATGGCCAGGATTTAATATTTCTGCAGCTACCAAGGGATCCTTAGAGCTTCGGCTTTTTTTCCATGTGTGATTTGTTACCATCCTGCTCCCCCCAGGCTTTGGGAAAGGCTCCTGCAGCAGAAGGAGGGTTTAGGTTCTGTTGGGGGTTTGAGCCCAGTTTTATGCCAGTTTTATGGGAAGGGGTTTGTGCTCAGCATAATCCTAGCTCAGTGGGGAGAGGAGCTGAGCCCTGGCTGGGGGGAAATCTGCTGCTTCCCAGCTCCCAAACCACTGATTCCTGTGCATTTTTTGGGATGAAAATGGTGCATTATTCAGTGCTGCCTTTCCCATGGCCCTCCCTGCCCAGCCCTGTCCTGAGCATGCCTTTACTTTGTCTGTGTGGTGCCAAATCCCCATTTCCCTCTAGTGCCATCCCTAACCAGTCCTACATTCCTTTGCTGATCCATGATTGCATCCAGACTCCTCCCAGTTTGTCATGTGTACAGTTGGATCTGTTAGACTTGTTGGCAGTATTAAAATGGTGAGTAAAGATTGTAGCCTTTTCTCCACTTTATTCTTCCTTTTTCCAGGAGTGTTCCCAGCTTTTGTGCTTTGCTGGAGAAGGAGAGGAAGAGCTTTGATGGGAATTGGGTGGAATTTTCTGGACAGGGAGGTTCCTTGTGCTTTATCACCCACCACTGGTGGTGTTGTGCTGCTCCCAAAGACTTGAGTCGTGCTGGCACAGTTGGAACATGCCAGGAATCTCATTGCCCATGGGATTATTGGCAGATGGATAATTACTGCTTATTTGTAACCCAAATCTCACTGGCTGCTGTGACCCCCTTGGGAATTCTGCTCTGGGCACTTCTGTGGGATGGAGGTGGGACTTGCTTAGAAATCCAGGGTAAATTCCTCAGGGAGGCTGGTGTGTGCTGGCAGGGGGAGCCCTGAGGGAGATTCCCTGTTCTGGAATCTTTTCCAAGCTATCTGGAGCTGTGTCTGTTTGACAGTTCCCTTCCAGCAATCCTACATGGGATAACTCATCCTTTAAACTCATCCAGGAGCTTCATCTCATCCAGGGGTGCTGGCCAGGAAGGTTTTTGGCATGGTGACCCCCATCCCACCCCCCAGGAGCCCAGCAGTGGCCATGGAGTGATCCAGGTGAGATCCAGAGATCCACACACCCCCAGAATGGATGCAAAGCAGGTGAAATATCCTTTGATCCAAGCTCTGGGACACAGGAATGGAGCAAAATGGAAGTGGGAGAAAGGAAGAACATCCACATCATGCATATTCCTTTATTGTGTTTTCCTACAGTTAAATGAAGCTGGTTGGGAGATCTCTGCAGGAAACAGGGAGAGGATGGATACAGGGCTCATCTATGGATTATTTACAAACAGACAGAGCAAATGCAGCTCTAAGTAGCAGAATGAAAATCTTTCAAGTAACCATTTCCTCTTTATCCAGCCCATTGCTGGGCTGGAGTTGGGATTCCCTTCCCCAGCCCCTCCTGCCTGAGAAATTCCCTCCATTTAGGGCCCAGAACAACCCCACAAACCCCTGATTTGTCCTGCCAAGGGCTGAGGTTGGTTCCCAGGAAAGAAGGAGCGACTTGGGGGTAACACAGCCTCCACCTTCCCCAGAAATTTCATCCTGGATTAATCCAGCTTCAATCAAGGGCAGGAATGGGCTGCAGAGGGATGGGCAAGGGGGCCATGTCTATCCTACCTCCCAAATTCCCTCAGTATTCCTATTCCTGCTGGGCTCTCTGGTGTCAAACCTCCTGTAAAATGCTGAAAACAGGGGTTCTTCCTTGGAAAAAAAAGAGGAAATGGCCATGAAAGGGAGCAGGAAGTTGAGCTTCAGCCCCTTCCAGGTGTGGGTTTGGAAGGAGGCAGATTTGGGCAGGTCATAGAAAAAGTGGGAGCAGTGATGTGTGGTGAGGGTTGGTTCTTCCTTTGGCTCTGCTCAGCAGAACGGTGAGATGGAAATGATTTCTTCTTCTGGGAGGGAGGGAGAGAGAACAGAGAGTTAAACACACCCAGGGAAGGGCTTAGAGGAGCAATTTTATGGAAACAAGGGGAAAAACTCAGGTGGGTTTCAGGGATTTGTGTCTCTTCATCCCTTTGCCTTCCTCCGTGGTGATGAGGATGGAGCATCCCCTCCCTCCTCCCCTTCCAAGTGTCACCTTCTGGTGCCTCCTGCCTGCAGGGAAACTCCTTGAGGTTTTTTTGGTTGTTGTTTTGGTTTCTTTTTGTAGCTTTTTCCTGCTTTATTGTTAATATTCGAGGATAAGAGAAGCACCAGAGGTTCCCTGAAAAGCAAAGTGCCAGAGCCAGTGGCTGGGAGCTGCTTGGATATGGAGGAGAGAGGATGGAATTCCTGCTGCTGCTCAGAATTAGTGCAAGATGTAGGATGATAAACCCTAATTAGGGTGGTAAACCCTAATTAAAGTTTTAGGATGAGCTAAAAGGCTGGGAGCAGCAGAGTGTGCTGTGGGATATTCACATCCACTGAGGCTGGGCTGGAATTGCAACAGGAGAGAAATAAAATTATTCCCTTTAGCTCAGGTGGAGGATTGGGAATCTCCATGTGCAAGGGTGGGAATTGTCTGGCTGAACCCACCCCACTGTGGGATGGGACTGAATCCCAAGGGAGCTCAGCACAGGGATGTCACCATGTCCCTGGGGTGATAGGACCCCAGACTTCCCCCTCCTCACTGCTCCCAGTCCATCCTTCCCTCCCCTACTCCTAGGATTTCCAGGACTTGATGGCAAAACCAGGGGGACCTACATCCCACCACCCCACAAAGCGGGATGGAGCCAGCTCTGATCATCCTCATCCCCCTCCCAGCCCTTTTTTGGGGGATGGAGCCAGCTCTGATCATCCTCATCCCCCTCCCAGCCCTTTTTGGGGGGATGGAGCCAGCTCTGATCATCCTCATCCCCCTCCCAGCCCTTTTTTGGGGGGATGGAGCCAGCTCTGATCATCCTCATCCCCCTCCCAGCCCTTTTTTGGGGGGATGGAGCCAGCTCTGATCATCCTCATCCCCCTCCCAGCCCTTTTTTGGGGGGATGGAGCCAGCTCTGATCATCCTCATCCCCCTCCCAGCCCTTTTTTGGGGGATGGAGCCAGCTCTGATCATCCTCATCCCCATCCCCAGCTCTTCTTTTTGGGATGGTGCTGAGTCTGCTCATCCTTATCTCCAGCCCCTTCCCCAGCCTATTTGTTGGGGGGATGGAGCTGGCTCTGCTTTTCTTCTTCCCCTTCTCCTTTCCCCAGCCTGTTTTTGGGGATTGAGCTGGTTCTGATCATCCTTATCCCCTACCCCAGCCCTTTCTTTTGGGGATGGAGCTGGTTCTGATCATCCCCATCCTCTTCCTTCTTCCCCAGCCCTCTTTCTCATCCCTGTCCTCCTTTCCCAGCCCTTTATGGGAGGGATCCAGGTTTGATCATGTTCATATCCCTCCCCTTCCCCAGCCCTTTTTTTATGATGGAGCCAACTCTGCTCTTCCTTCTCCCCTTCCCAAGCTTTTTCTGGAATGGAACCAACTCTGATCAGCCTTACGCTTTCCCCAGCCCCTTTTTCTGGGATGGATCTGGCTCTGCTCTTCCTCACCTCCCTCTCCTTCCCCAGTCTTTTCTGGGATGGAGCCAACTCTGATCATTCTCATCCCAGTCCCCTTCCCCAGCCCTGTTTTTCAGAGAGATCCAGCTCTGATCATCTTTATTCTCCTCCCCTTTCCTAATTCGGGATGGAGCCAATAGTGATCATCCTCCTCTTCATCCCCCTTCCCTTTCACAGCCCTATTTGTGATGGCGCCAATAGTGGTCATCCTCCTCTTCATCCCCCTTTCTCAGCCCTTTTTTCAGAGAGATCCAGCTCTGATCATCTTCATCCTCCTCCCCTTTCCCAGCCCTTTTTGTGATGGAGCCAATAGTGATCATCCTCCTCTTCATCCCCTTCCCCTTTCTCAGCCCTTTGGGATGGAGCTGGCTCTGCTCATCCCCCTCCCAGCTCTTTTTCTAGGATGGAGTCAGCTCTACTCTTCCTCATCCCTTTTCCAAGCCCTTTTTGTGATGGAACCAATAGTGATCATCATCCTCCTCTCCATCCCCCTTCCCTTTCCCAGCCTTTTTTGTGATGGAGCCAATACTGACCATCCTCTTCTTCATCCCCCTTCCCTTTCCCAGCCTTTTTTGTGATGGAGCCAATAGTGGTCATCCTCCTCTTCATCCCCCTTCCCTTTCCCAGCCTTTTTTGTGATGGAGCCAATAGTGATCATCCTCCTCTCCATCCCCCTTCCCTTTCCCAGCCCTTTAGGATGGAGCCAATAGTGATCATCCTCCTCTTCATCCCCCTCCCCTTTCTCAGCCCTTTGGGATGGAGCTGGCTCTGCTCATCCCCCTCCCCTTCCCCAGCTCTTTTTTAGGATGGAGCCAGCTCTGCTCTTCCTCATCCTCTTCCCCAGCCCTTTTTGGGATGGATCCAGCTCTGACCACCCTCCTGCCCTCTCCTGTCCCTGTTTTCTGGCTCCAGCCTCTCCCATACCTGCTGGTGCTCAGAAGAGGCCGCAGTCCTTGAGGTTCTCTTTGATGATCACGTCTGTGACGGCGTCGAAGACGAACTTGACGTTCTGTGTGTCTGTGGCACAGGTCATGTGGCTGTAGATCTCCTTCACGTCCTTCCTCATGTTGAGATCCAGGAACTGGGTCTTGATGTAATTCCCTGCATCCTCAAATGTGTTTGGACCTGCAGAGGGGGGAATGCTTCCAAGCTGCTCCCGTGGGGGCGGGTGTTGGAGGAAAAGGGTGGAGTGCTGACCATGCGTAGCACAGAACTCCTTTTTACCCCATTTCTGTTCTTCCAAACACCTTCCTGAGGCCACAGCCGTCCTCTCCTCAGCTCCAACCTCCCAGGATTTGATTCACCACCTCACAGAGCAGCATGGAGCTGCTTCTGCTCATCCTCATCTCCTTCCCCAGCCTTTTTTTGGGATAGAGTCTGTTCTCATCATCCTCGTCTCCCTTCCCCAGCCCTATCACAACACATCCCAAAACCAAGTTGCTGCATCTTTGCTGGGACCACACAACTCCCCAGCCCTGGTTTGGGGAGTCTCAAGGAGGAGGGGTAAGGCCAGGAAGGGTCTGGACTCACCATCATACTCTGGGAAGCAGATGCTGAGATGGACTTTCTTGATCTTTTCCTCAAAAAGGTCCTTCTTGTTGAGGAAGAGGATGATGGAGGTGGCAGCAAAGAACTTGTGGTTGCATATACTGTTGAATAGGTGCAGGGATTCATGCATCCGGTTCTGCAGGGAGATGGATTGTCATGGATTTGCACTCCCTTGGGGCCACTGCAGCCCATCCCCAAGCCCCCATTCCCAAAAAAAGAGCTTTTCCCTGTTTGCTGCAGCAGCAGCTGGTCCTGCTGCCTGCCCAGTCTCTCCTGCCCACCCAAAATCACAGATAAATCCACATGATGCTCAGGGTAGGGACTGGCTCCAGTCCCTCCTGGGATTGTCAGAAGTGAAGGATTGTAGTGATTTCACTGAGCAAATGATCCATGGAAACCTTGCAGCCTGTGAGGAAGGTGCTCAGTGAGCATCAGGGGGATGCTCTTGTTGGACTGTGGCTTCTGGCCATTATCCACTGCTTCAGGAAGGCGCTGGGAAAAGGAAATCTCCAGTTTTAAAGCAGTTGTTGAGTTCTTAGTTTGCTGCTGGGTCATCCTGAGGGGATGAGGATCCATCTAGGCAGAGCCAAGTCCAGTAGGGGGATTTTCTTGATATAAGGAGGATCCTCCATCTTTGTGGGCAGCAGGTGGGTTCTCCAGGGATGGTTTTCCCTCATCCAGCTTCCCATCACAGCAGCTTTTCTGTATGCAGAGCACTGTCTGTGCCCAAATCCTGCCCTGTCCTGCGCTGGGTGAGCATTCCAGCCTCTCCCAAGGGCTCCCATGGGAAGGATGCTCTCCTGCACATGGCTGAGAAAAGGCTCTGAGCTCCTGCCTGGCCATGGCAGGGCCCAGGGATGGCAGATCCTGACCCTGATCCAGCTGCAGAAGCTGCAGCAGCCATGGGACCTGGAGGAGATGCCAGGGAAGAAACCACTCCTGCTCTTCTTGTCTTCACCCCTTATCTCTTCAAAGAAAAACCCATTATGGAGCTTCCATGTTCCTTCTCTCTGGATCTGTGCCTTCCCAACTGCTTTCCCAGGGCTCTGCTGGTGCATCCTTCACTGGACACACTTTGGATCACATCCTTGTGCCCCCACACTGGGAGGGTGGGAGCTGCCCCTCCTTATCCCCTCTGCTCACCTGGGAGGGCACAGCAAGGCACGAGGTGCCTCAGGACCAGATTTTCCTTCATCCCAGTGGGTTCCTGGCTCTTCCTGCCCTTCCCTTTAGCTTTGCTCCAGCTGCCTGGCTGTGTGCCCAGTCTCTGGTGGCTCTCAGGATCTGCTCAGGGGGTTTCCTCATGGGCAGAGCCATGGATTCACAACCCATAGGAAGTGCAAACACCTTTACCCAGTGCACTTTACCTGGGTGGGAACCAGCTCCATCCCCTATGTCCCACACCTTTCCTGGATCACCCAGAGCATCTGACAGTGCAGAGTGCTGTTCCTCCCTCCTCAGAGGCTCCCTGTTCCTCTCCCCCTCAGCTCCCAGTGCCTCCAGGACCCCAACCCACCACTTCATCGTCCTCCACCAGCACCATGTCATAGGCGCTCAGGGCCCCACAGAAGATGATGCAGGTCACGCCCTCGAAGCAGTGGATCCACTTCTTCCTCTCTGAGCGCTGCCCTCCCACGTCGAACATCCTGGGGAGGGGACAAGGATGAGGGATGCACTCACCTGGTCCTGCCACCCCCCATCTGATGGTTCCAGTGCCACATCCTCAGGGGGACAGGAATCACTGTCTGTGGGAGGGCACTGGTGCTCCCTCCAGTGTCAGGGTCATCCCAAAATCCCTCCCCACCATCAGGGCTGGGGGGAATCATGGAGGAGTGGTCATGGAGGTGGGGGAGGCTCCCACCCACCTGAAATTCAGGTCTTTGACAGAGAACTTGGTCTCGATGATCCCTGTGGTCTTCACTCGGGATCGCAACACGTCCTGCTCGTTGGGGAGGTAGTTGGGGGCTGTGATCCTGTCCAGCTGGTTCAGGTAACTGTGGGGACAGGAAGGGGTGTGACCTGCTGCCAAGGGGCTGCCCATGTCTCCCCCTTCCCCCAGATTTTTGGGGATGGTTGTGGGGCTGAGCTCTGCCAAAGAGCTGGGACTCCAGGGCAGTGACATCCCTGGGGGAGCTGAAGGACAGTAAAGGATGGTGGGGCTGCAGGTCAGCAGCACTTTTGGGATGGGGATGGCACTGGTGGATGGACAATGACAGCAGTGGGGTGGAGGATGTAGGACAGCACTAATGGAATGGAAGATGGCAGCAGTGGGATGGGGGGATAGCACTGATGGGATGGAGAAGGGCACTGGTAGGATGGGGGATGACACTGGTGGGATGGAGAACAGTACTGGTGGGATTGGGGAATGGTACTGGTGGGATGGATGAATGGCATTCTCGGGGTATTCCCAGGAGCAGGGAGGAGGTGGATTTTGCCAGGCTGGGTTGGAGCTGGCCGTGAGCTGTCAGGGAGTCCCAGGGCAGTCCCTGTTGTGCCGTGTCCTCACTCACTATGCAGCTGAGTCGTTGAGCTGATACTCGGCAGCGCGGTCAAAGCACGCCTGAACCCCCCCGTCCTTCCACAGCTTCTTGATGCAGGCCACCAGCTCGGGGGGCATCGTGCCCTCCTCGATGGAGTCAGCCAGGTTGAAGAGCAGCCGGCCTTCATCCTGCGAGAGGGATCTTCATCACCAACCCTGTCATGGCCCCTGTCCCCCCACAGTGCCCTCAGGACTGGGGGAACAACATGGGGCCGCTGTGGGTGCTGGTTCAGGGGGCTGCCCTGGCCCCACATCAGGAGGTTTGGGGGACAGGGACACCCCAGGACTGACCGCGCAGGAGGACTCGGCGTAGTCGATGCCCAGCGTGGACATGGCGCGGATGATGGCCAGGATGGACTGCAGGATGTTCCCGTAGATAATGGACTTGAACTCCATGCACTCCTCCTCCGTGTAACCGTCCTGGTGGATGATCCTGGCAGGCACAGTGGCCTCAGCCCCAAGCCAGGACATCCTCTCCACCAGGAATCACCACCCCACACTGGGAATCACAGGTGCCACCACCAGGTGACATGGGGGGTGACTGGGGGTCCAGCCACCCCATGTCCAAGAGCTGGTGGCTCATCCTTGTGGCCTCCCCCTCCCCAGTCTGGCTCAGGCCATACTCACTTCATCTGCTTCACGATGGTGCTCTTCCCTGACTCTCCAGCCCCTGGAAAAGGGTGGGAGGGACACCTTAGTGCCCATCAGGGCCTGTTGTCACAGTGATGGGCACCCCATGGGGACCAAAGCCAGTGTCCCCCACTCATCCCCTGCCTAGACACTGAGCCTGGCCTTTTCCCACCACTGTTGTCATCCCCACACTCCTGTCACCCCTTGCACTCTGTGTGGGACCACAGCTCGGGACCCCCAGGGTGGTGGGAGCCCCCTGGGTGCAGGTCCCCCCATCCCACACCTCCCGCCCACCGTGGGCAGTGCCCGGCAATGCCTCTGGGGCCATAAGCGGCTTAGGGCAGCACAGGAAGCTGCTTAGAATTAGGGTGTTAATCGCCTTGACCCCAGCCCCCCCACCTGGATAAGGCCCCACTGCTGGCCCCTGCCCCATGGAGTCACCCCTGCCCCACAGGGCCACCCCCAAGCCCCATGGGGAGTGGAGGGACCCCCAAGGAACCATCTCCTCCTGCCTGGCACCACCAGCAGGTTTTGGGGTGCTGGTGGCAGAAGCTCCCCAGGTTCTCGCTGACCCCCCTGAGATGTGGCACATCCTGGTGGGACCCAGGAGCTTGGTCCCTTCCCTATCCCCCCACTGTCCCTTTTGTGCCTGCCATCCCCAAGAGCCAATGCCATATCCAACCCTTCCCAGGGATAACCCTGGGGATGTCCTAGGGGTGGAACAACCTCTCCAGGCTGATGGTGGCTTGTCCAAGGGGCCAAGGGGTACCAGAGCCAGGGCAGGAGGACCCCAGGGGGTCATGGGTTCCCTGTCCCCCTCCCCATCCCCACATCCCCTCAGCCTCAATGGAGTGGGAACACAGGGACATCTCCAGGGGACCTCCCCTCCAGCCTCACCAAGCAGCAGCAGCTTGACCGTCTTGGCCTCCTTATCCGCATCCTCCTGGAGCTTCTTCTCCAGCTCCTTGGACCTCTTGGCCATCTCCTTGTCCTCGGCACTGGCCCCGCTCCCCATGGCTTCGTCCTCCTCCTCCTCCTCCAATAACTCCACAAGCTCCTCTAGGTCCCCAGGCTTTTCCAGCTCTTCAAAGAGATAACACGCACACCTCGGGAACGAGGTGAGCACTGGGAGATGAACCAGAAATTCAAAAAAAGGAGAGCCAGGTACCCCACACCTGATGTTGGGGTGCCCCAAGCCGGCAGCACTCTTCGGTGGGTCCTCGCTGCTGGCTGCCCCCCGCTCTCTCCCTTAATTCCCCATGGATAACCTGATTTTTTTTGACCGTGGGATTTGGGGACTTTTTATCTTGCCATGTGACCCAGGAAATCCAATTAGCCCAAGATGGCAAAGATTAGGGCTCAGGGAGAAAAAAAAGGATGGAGCATCTCAGGGAGGTGGGCAGGGGGCTTTACATAAGGGGGGGCATCAGTGTGACACCCCCTAACCGTGGGGACTGGTCCCCTGAGGTGACTTGGGAAGTGAGGATCATTTTGGGGGTCCCTGCTCTCTGTGGGCTGTGATCCCATTCTTGGGGGGCATTGAGGATGGGATCAGCCCCTGGCTGTGTGTGTCCCCCACCCCTGGGTGTTCCAGAGCAGGGGACTGGGCGGTGACAGGGGGACAGGGTGGTGACAGGGGGGTGATGGCACCGGGGGATTCCTCCTGCAGGGAAAAGGGAGCTAATTACCCCGGGGTGGGTAACGAGGCCCCTAATCCTGCCCCGCTGGGTGCCGCCCTCCCGCTGCCTAAGCTCTTTAATGGGATCGTGGCTCAGCCTTCCTCCTCCTCCTCCTCTTCCCGGGCTCAGCACCCCCCTGCCAGCCCATCCCCCAAACCCTGGGGACAGGTGGGTGCCTCCCCCTTTCTCCTGCGAGGCTGGCTTTGGGTGGGCCCCGCAGGGGGAGCCCCCGCCCCGGGGTGGGCTTTGGGACCCCCACAAGTCCTGCAGGTCCCCGATGTTTGGGTTTAAGGTGTCCTAAATCCCCGAGGTTTGGGTTTCAGGTTTCCTAAATCCCTGCACTTCACAGGGTCACTGGGGGCTCCATGTCCCCGCACCGGTGTCCCCACGTCCCACCGGGCGCATATTCGCTGCCAGCGCCGTCGCTTGGGGACACTCTGTTCCTGCTGTCCCCGCGGACACAAAGCCCTTTCTGAGCCTCTAATGAACTCGGCGCTAATGAGGGGGGTCCAATTAAAATACCAGACACCGCCCCCCCTCCCCGCGGTGTGCGGACAGTGCTGGGCAGGGGACATGAGTCAGGCTGGGGGTCCCCACTGTCCCCCGTGGCAGTTGTGCCCTCCCAGCCCGGCGCAGCGCTGGCCCTGGTGGGTGGTGTCACCTCGCTGTCCCTTCACCCCCTCGACAAGGGGTGGGGGGCACAGAGGGGGGGTGGGTGACATTCCCTCCGCTCGAACAGCGGCTAAAAAAACCCCCCCGCGCCGGTGGCAGCTTAGGGGACACTCGGGGCGCTCGGAGGGGACACAGCCCGACAGGCACCCAGAGCCACCCCGGCACCGGGAGCCCCGGCCCAGGTAGGGACACGCGGAGCGACACCCCCGGCACAGGTGGCACCCCCGGCACAGTGACACCCCCGGCACAGTGACACCCCCGGCACAGTGACACCCCCGCGGCCGGGCTCTGCCTCTGGGGCGGCCCCAGCTTTGGCTGGGGGGTGCATTGGGGGGCAGGGGCTCCTTGGGGACATTCCTGGGGGGCTCAGGGCACCCCCAGCAGGGTGTGAGCCGGGGAGTGCTGCAGGAGTGCGAGTCCTTCTTTTGGGGTGCGGTGCCATATCTGAGGGGGGCACTGGCTGATTTCGGAGGTACCTTTGGGGGTGCAGTGTTTAACGGGGGGTGCTGGGGGTGCAGTGCCAGCCCTGGGGAGGGGGATGCCCATCCCGGGGGTGACGGTGCCCGCTGGGGGGGCGCAGGGATTCCCAGCGGGATGGGGCCGGGCTCTGGATGGGGAAGAGACACCCCGTGTTTTTGGGGAGCAATGCCTGTTCGGGGGTGGGCAGTGCCCATATTGGGGGGCCATAATGTCCACATCGGGGGGTGGGGGGGGTTAACTCTATTAACCCTATTTTGGAAGCACCGCTGTCACTTTGTGGGGGTCCAATCCCATCTCTCGCGGGGCTGCGATGCCCGCTCGGGGGGGACGTTAGGGCTGAACCGGGGGGTAACGACTGTCCCCGAGGAGGGGCTTGGGCTGTCCCGGGGGTCCCACAGAGCCACAGAGCGGCCTGCGGGGGCTGTCCCGGGGAGCACACGTCTGTCCCGGGGGTGTCCCGGCTGTCTGGGGGTCACGGCTGACCCCACACGGGTACAGGGCGCTCCTCTGGGGGTGTCACGTTTGTCCGGGGGGGGGGCACGGCTGGCCCAGGGCTGTCACAGCCCCATCCCGTGTCTTGCTCCCCCCCCAACCCTCCAGCGCCGCAGCCACCTCCTTCCTCCTCCTCCTCCTCCTCCTCGCCACATCCTCCGCCCGCCCCATCCTCTTCCTCGTCCCGGTTTCCGGCCGGGCCCCGCCGGGGACTTTGGTCCATTCCCGGGTTCCTGCATCAATCATCAACCAGGGGAGGGAGCGGCCGCTGCGGCCCCGCCGCCGTAAGAGTCCCCCGGGCGCCCCCCGTCATTCACCCCCCGCCCCCATCACCATCATCACCATCATCACCATCATCACCGCCAGCATCAGCCCCTCCGCTCCTCCCCGGCCCCCCTGGAGCCGCCATGTCCTCTGCCCCCCCGGCCAAGTGCTCCTTCAAGAAGCGGGGTAGCCTGCAGACCCCCAGCCCCGCAGGTGAGACCCCCCCCAGATACCCCGAGGGGACAGCCCAGGGGACAGCCAGGTCACGGCCCGGGGGGGGGGGCGATGCTGCGAGTAGGGGGGATCAGTTTGGGGGGGCAATGCCGCCGTGCTGCTCTGAGGGTTTATTTTGGGGACGGGGGAGCCACCAGCGTGTCCCGGCGCCGGGAGGGGTGGCAGCGGCGGGGGGGGCCCTGCGTGTCCCCTCCCGCCAGCGCAGCGCCTCGGTGGCGCAGTGAGAGCGGAGGAAGAGGAGGAGGAGGAGGAGGAAGGAGGGGGGGCGGACCCGGTTTGGGGGGGCTCCGCGGGGGCGATCTCGGGGGGCACTGGGTGGGGGGCAGTGGTGGCACTGGGTGGGCAAGGTGGCACTTTGTGGTTGGCACTGTTGACAGAGGGTCTCAGGGTGCCACTGGGGCTGTTCCCACACGTGGGTGGCACACGTGTGTTCTGGGTGGATGGCAAATGGTGGTGGTGACACAGGGTGAGCGTGGTGACATCACCGGGGTGAGGTGGCACTACGGGGTTGTCACCTGGGTGGTAATTCTGGGGGGGGGTCTAGGGGCATCACCGGGGCTGCTCCTGGCTCTGGTGACCCACATTTGTCCTGGGTGGGTGGCACAGGGTGTTCTGGATGGTGGCACGAGTGGGCGAGGTGGCACCTTGGGGTTGTCATCTGTCTGGCACCCGTGTTGAGGGGGATCTTGGAGTGCCACCAGGGCTGCCACCTGTCACACGTGGGCAGCACAGGATATGTCCTGGGGGCACAGGGCACCCTGGGTGTCCCAGGAGAGGCACCACCACCACATGTGATGACACCAGTGCCATCCCTGCCCTGGGTGACACAGCCCCCATTCCCATTGGGGTGATGCAGGGAACAAATGGGGTGGAGGCTCCTGTTTGGGGGTCAGAGGACCTGGATCTTCCCCCAGGCTGTGCTGGGTGGAGGGGCTCTTACTGGTGGACCCAGTTTAACCAGTAGGACCCGATTTCCAGTGCCCCCCAGGCTGGTGTGTGGTGGGTTGGGGTTGCAGGGGGGGGTGTTGGCACTGGGGTGGCACTGGGCATCCCCCAGCCCCAATGTCCCAGTGCTGGTGGGAGCAGGGGGCTGTGGGGCAATGGGGTGGGTTTGGAGGGGGGACGATGTCACCTCCCTTGTCCCCAGTGTAGGGATGTGCCCCCTGTGATGGGAAGGATGGGATGGGGAGCAGGGAGGTGGCACTGGCAGGGACCCCAGTGCTGTGCCCCCCATGCCATGGGGGTCCTGCAGCCCAGCCCTGAGCCCCTCATTCTCTGTTGGCTTCTGACAGCCCCCAGTGGGGCCAGCAGCCCTCCCAGTGCCCCGGGGGGATTTGAGGGGAGGGGGTCCTCTTCCCCTTCAGCTGCCTCAGTTTCCCCATCATCCCCATTGGGAAGAGCATCCCAGTTCCACGGTGGGGAGGGGGGGCTGATTAACCCCTTCCTGCCCAGGTGGGGGTCCAGACCCCCCGGCTGACATTGTCCCACTCCCTGCAGAGCTGCGGGGGGGGCCAGGGGCCCGACCCCTGCAGTCAGCCTGGTCCCTGCCCGGGACCCCCCACAGCCTGAAGCATTTCCCGGTGGATCTGCGCACGTCCATGGATGGCAAATACAAGGAGATCGCTGAGGTGGGTCTGGGGCACCCAGTTTGCCACGTCTGGGGGGGTGAGCCTATGCTGGGGGAGTGGGGGGGTCTCCCCTCCATCCTTCCTCCACTCCTATCCTCCCCAAACCCTCCTCCCTTCCCACTTCTTCAGCTCTGAGTGTGGGAATCCCTGTGAGCCTTTCTCTGCTAACCCAGGGGCTGAGGTTCATGGCAGGGCTGAGGCTGCACCCAGCTCATGGCAGGGCTGCTCTGGGCTCAGTTCAGGGCTGCTCTGGGCTCAGCTCAAGGCTGCTCTTGGCTCATGGCAGGGCTGCTCTGGACACAGCTCAGGGATGCTCTGGGTTCAGTTCAGGGCTGCTCTGGGCTCATGGCAGGGCTGCTCTGGGCTCAGCTCATGGCAGGGCTGCTCTGGGCTCAGTTCAGGGCTGCTCTGGGCTCATGGCAGGGCTGCTCTGGGCTCAGCTCACGGCAGGGCTGCTCTGGGCACAGCTCAGTGCTGCTCTGGGCTCAGCTCACTGCAGGGCTGCTCTGGACTCAGCTCAGGGCTGCTCTGGGCTCATGGCAGGGCTGCTCTGGGCTCAGCTCACA